ACTTTTATAGTTATTTATTTATATACATACTATATATTTTGGGGTTAAGCTATCCAAATTGCACTGTATAATATGTTCTTGGGTTTTTTTGAAATATATATATATACATGTATTAATTCAACCTTAATCTGAGTTTCTGGACAAGAAAGAGGGTAAGCAGTTAAAATTTCATTCTAAAACCCATCTTTTTTTGTCTTTCCACAACTTATGATCTGTCAAATTTGTAGTTTTCTTTATTGGTTTTGAGTGTTTATCTTAAAACTCAAGTTTCTTGGTTCTTTGCTCTTATTGTAAATCGAATACATTTGTGGAGTCGTTTAAATATGTTGGATTTTAAATATATTGGATTTTAAACTGTCATATAATTTTTTTCAGCGATAATCTGTAATTGAAACCATAACTCTTATTTATTCAAATTGTATTAATATGTAAAGACCAAGTGTAACATATATCATCGTTAAATCTTATCTTATATAAAACCAGTGGAACTTCAAAATCGTTAAAATTCATGGCTCCCGCCGCATTGCACGGATACACAACTAGTCAAGTATAAATCTTGGATTAGTAAAATTTTGGAGTAATAAATGGTTACCAAACACTACAATAAAAAAAAATAGCATATGACAAACACGTGAAATTTTGAAAGCAATAAATGGATACCAATCACAATGACGAAGAAGATGCAGTTATTTTGAATTATTAAAACGTTGGACAAATACACTTGCACAATAAATGCATTTATAAAAGGTGTCCATATTGTGTAAATGGTATGAAGATAAATCCTATATATATTATCTAAGAAATTAAAAAAAAAAACTGTATCTAATATTATATTATAAAACATTTGAAAAAAAAAAATTTAAAAACCATTTTTTAAGCATAAAGTACTGCTTATTGATTCATATTATTTAAAATTCAAGATTACAAGTATATTGTATATATGTACAGTTTTTTAAAGTTTCATAATTAAATTTGTGTGACTAACTGTAGATAAACATTATCAAATAAATGATAAATATCTTATTTTAAATATAAAAAATCTAAAATATAATTATGATAATCATAAAGTTCTAAGAAACTATTTAATTATTATCTTTATAAAAAATTATAATAGAATAAATGAATTAGAGAAATTTTAAATAGTTAGTTTGGTACTAATATCAACGTTTTTTTTTTCAATTTGTTATGATATATCTTCATATTTAATATTTTATTCAAAAATAAAAACATTATCGCTTTCTTAATAATCAAAATCACATAAAACTGTATTATAACATCTACTGAGACAAAAGAAAAAACGAAACATTAAAATCGAGATGTATATCGCTGCATTGTACGAGTATCTTTCTAGTCATAAATAAAACATGGGTTGTGTTTTCTTTATTTTACAAAAACTGTCATATCCAGTCGTTTTTTTAAGAACGTGTGTATAATTAGCATTACATGTGTTGTGATTGTACGAGCAACATTATATTTGACATTTTTGTACCAACCATATTAAAGCAAAAAAAAAATAAGGATTTGATTAAATAGTTTATTCAATTAAGGGGCCGTTTACCCAAATGCTTACCCGGTAAGCGCTAATCAATAGGAATCAACACTATAATTTATTTAGATGCATAAGATTTTAGTACATCAAAGCATATCGAATGCAACAATTTACTAGATAAGCACTTACCTGGGTAAGAGTCGGTCATCATCACTTATCAGGTAAGACTTTTCATTCTTCTCATTGCTCTTACCCGGTAAGATTCTTGACCCTTCTCATGTTCATCCGATGAGGAATTTATGCTTTAAGCACTTACCAAGTAAGTGTTTGGTAAACGGTCCCTAAGATTCCAAATACCGATTCTATTTAGGCAATCGACATTAAATGAGGTTCTGTTAACAACTTAACGTAAAGACAAATTTAATGACATTCTTGCGTAGTGAAGTATCATTATGATGTACGAAAGGAGTATGCTAAAACTTATTCTGAGATCATGGATTTAGAAGGAAAATGTCAGTAGGTTGTCCAACCAAAAGACAGATCCCAATTAACTTCATTTTCAAGAATTGGCATGATACAAGACATCGTACCAATGGCAATCAACAATTTAAGGTTTTGTAACACCTAAAAAAGAAAAATATGGCTTAAAATGGAATATATTTTATAGTTTGATACAATATACACTTCTAAGACAGCTCAACTCAGCACAAATATGAATGCAAGTAATCATCTGAAATTCAGAGAAATGCTTCCAAAAGCAATCTTTATTGGTTCATTATTTTTGAACAGTTATAACGTAAAAGTTTTAAGAGATAAAGAGGTTTTATTGTACTTTAAAAAATCTTGATATGTATTCTTGAATTTAAAGGAACGTGCATTAATGAACAGTATGTTTCATGTTTCGATTTCCTCTTTCGAGTGTTGGCTTTGAGTTAATGGGCCAAAGGGCCCCTCTTCGCTTATTTCAAATCAAACCTCAAATAGGCATTTCCTTCATCTCCATCTTCTTTGAAGGATTTTAGTTCAGTTGGCATAGAGGTGGCACAACTTTGCTTAGATACACAACAAATTCAAGTTTGAATCATGCGGGGGACATGCTTGAACCCTTTTGTTAGCGTCAACCGTTGAATCAGCTCTGAAATGTCTCATCACATGTGGTTCCTAAGGGTGGGTTCCGTGTGGCGCCATTCAGAATTGTCGTTAATCAATCTTTTACTCAAATAAATATGCAACCTTTATACAACCACGAGGTTGAAAAAACACTATGATCGATTGAGATGTCATACGAATATTATAATCTGAAGTATCAAAATGCTACATTTTAGGAACTGATGCTTAGTTGTGCTTTCAAAATTGAAGTCTCATCGAGTACAATTGTGATTCTATGATTTTAAATTTCATGCACAATTGTTGATTTCATAAACTTTAATGCAAGTGTCGGGCTAGTCTTGTTTAGTTTATATTAACAGCCTGACACTTTATCTCTGGTCAAATAGCTCATATGTCTTGTATGGTGGTGAATCAGAGATGGTCAAATGGGTCCAGCCAGGCATAGGACCGATGGAGGACTGGTTTGGCCCGGAAAAGATTGGGACCTACAGATACCGGTTACACTTTTCGTCAAAAAGAAGGCCCGGCCTGGCCGGTCAAGGACTGATTATGGGCTCGTCGAGGGACCGACCTGATTTTTCAAAAATATTATTGTTTTATTACCGATATCTAACAATCATATGATGTTTTTCACATTTTTTTTCCATTTATCCTCTATTCACTATATACAAGTCATATGGTGTATGAGAAAAAATACCAACTCACATACGTTCACAATTCTTGCTATAATTCAATTTTTCAGCTCGTATTTCTCACAAAAACGTGTTTTTTAAGTGTATGTCTCAATTACATATTTTCAAGTGTATTAGAATAATTTTTTAGAAAAAAATAAAAAAAAATTAAGTAAAAGTTCGAATTTACAAAAAAAAAATACATAGGACCAAGACAAGTCCTCATAACCGATTACAAAATACGTTAAACGAGCCTTAAGTTTTTGATTGGAAGCAGTTACGTCAAAATTGGTTAAGGGATTAGTGTTAGGGACTGGGACCGATTTAGGCCTGGTCCGATTCAGGACCCATTTTTGGCCATTCTATGGTGAACCATCGACTGTCGAATAAGGACCGCAATCAACAACTGAACTTGTAGGTGATTAATTAAGCCAATCAAACATACATATCGGTTACAAAATTTGATGAACATACACAACAGGTTCTTAAACTGTTCACTATTCTCCCCTCTTCTGATTACTCAACTCGAAATTGCATATACAACAAATCATTCCAATACATACTCGATGCCCCGATTACCAAAAAAATATTGGATGTTATTCGGATTAAATTTACCACGCTCTATGTAACTTTGCTTACCAAAGATGGGAAAATACGTTGATCGGAACAAGTCTACCACAAGCGGGAATTGTAGAGTCACGAAAACTGCAATCGGTAGGCAAGTTAGTCCACCTATTGGACCCAACATCCAGTTCCTTTGATCAACAAACACAAGGAACAACGTCGCACTAAACGCTATCATCATCATAGTTGTAGAAAGGAACAATGTGCAAAGACCAATAATCAGCCGTCTTGGTAAACTAACAAGAAAATCTTGTTCTGAAAAACGTGCGGTCAGGATTGACAAGAAAACTAAAAGTGCAGTAGCGGATGCAAATAACGAGATTGCATCAGATACCGCAAAGATAGTGAAAGGAACGGTTCCCTTAAACACGGGAATACCTGTTTCTTGATTGCTTCCACCTGGTACCGTAATTGCTGCTGCAAATACGATTGTGGTAATTAGTGCTGCGGTGATACTGCATGATTCCGCTGTGGTTTTCATCCACTTTTCCCCTTCCTTCACCAAGTTCTCGTGTTCCCTTGTAAACACCATTTCTGGTGTGTCCTTAAAGATGTTCTCTTCAGTGATGTATGCTGGAAACACAAATTTCTCCAATTCCTATAGGATTCAACGAGTTCAGCTTTGTGAAACCGACACTACAATATTATTGGGTTTATAGGACGACAAAAATATATAAGCATCCTAATAGATTATAAAACTTCAGTTTATAGGGCCGAACAGACATGCGTCCTATGTACAAGTGTTGTAACAAGTTTATAAGACAGTTTTTGGACATCTCGACATGTTCAATATGGCACTTCTAAATTAAAATATCATATTAGCTTTTTTGTAGAACACTTTGGATGCTATGAACACGTCTTTTTATAGGACACTTGTTACTTTTTCAAATAATGTCATAAAAAATTAATTGGACGTTTTATATCTAAGGGGCCGTTTACCAAACGTTTATCCGGGTAAGCGCTTACCAAGTCACGTTACCTCACTAGATGAATATGGTAAGGATCAAGAATCTTACCCGGTAAGAGCGAGACAAGGACCAAGAGTCTTACCCGGTAAATGAGGGCGACGACTCTTACCATGGTAAGCGCTTACTGGATAAATTGTTGCATACGATGTTATTTTGGTGGACTAAAATCTTACCCAATAAGTAAATAATAGTGTTAAATTTTACCAGTAAGCACTTACCGGGTAAGTGTTTGGTAAACGGCCCCTAATTGTCCTAAAAAAAGCTTGTTAAGATGCCAAAAGAGTCCAATAAACTTATAGTAACACTTTTATATAGTACACACAAATATAGAAAAGTTGCTAAAATAGTAAAAAAAAGAATGACCGAAAATGAATTTGGTCCTGTAAAGAAGTCTATTTTGACACTTCCTGACATTTTTTGCATCATATAAACCCGATTTTATAGCAGTGTGAAGAGCAAAACAACATGATAGTTTTTAACTTGTTTGGAACATACCTCACGCCATTGCAGTTCCCGTTGTAGTTGCAGTGCAGCTCCTGTAGTACGGCTTAGTATACGTGAAGGTGCCAATCTTCCGGCCAGGTGTAAAATATTGTTCTTAGAGGAATCCATAACCGTTCTATAAAAGTCTTTACGCTCAACTATGTGATAGATAAGGTTGTAGACTTTTTCTGAACGGTTTATCACTGCTAACTGAATGATGTTAAGCCCGTTTTGATTCTTACAATCGATTGCTTTGGGGAATCGAGATAGAATCTCATCAACAACTTCATAAGCACCTTGACATGCAGCTTCAAGAATTGGTCTGCTGTAACAGGGATGGTGAGAACCAGAGAAGCCCAACCTATCAATATGATCACATACCAACTTCAAAATCTCTTTAGCTTCTTTGTAGTCGTTTTTCTTCTTTTCTACAAGCTTAATTGGCGCCACTGCAATGTAATAAATTAAGTTAAAACACGATCATTCTAAAGTTAATGGAAATTCTCTCAAGTTTCCATCTTAAAACCGATCTGTTCATGAGCATATTGACACTATGTTCACTTGCCTACAGTAGCTAAAACCTTCCATAGGAGGAAATACAGCACAATGAAGGGGTAAAGAAGCACTAAGATGAAGAGACGAATCAATTGATATATTGGATAAAACATAGCTGCTGGAACTGCACAGGAAATAGAAAGTTTATCAGAGTCGACTAGAACGAGTTTCAAGCATTTCAACTGATCTCCATATTGCATTTTTTGTTATCAGCAGCTCACCAAGTAATATTAGGACCATTTCTGGGAACAACCCACTGTAATAGTTGCTTTTAAATCTTCTCATCGCCCATAAGATATCTTTGGCGCTTGCACACAAAAATTCGTACGAATAAAACAGCAAAGAACATCTCTTGACAATTTTTCTTCTGACGTTGTTCAAAGCTGCAAGAGTAGTATCAACATCAATAAAGGAATACATGATGTATCTTCTGATTCTATGGAAGTTCTCGAAAAAAGATTGGAGATATACATGGATAGATCAATCTTTCCCCAAAACCAAGCTCACTTGGAAAAGTTCTAGCCATAGCCATCAATACTTGATCGTCTTTTGTAGCCAATTC